AAAAACACTGGCAGTCTATTCTATTAGCTTATCCTTATTTTTAGAAACACTTTTTTTCTAATGTAATGTACAGTGTAATTCTATTCCTTGTCATATTTGTTCTTCATACACAAAGGTAGCTACTGCTTTCCTGTTTTTCAGAAGTCTTTTTGAAAATTAGTGCTTCCTTCTTCCCATTTCAGTTTTGCCTCATATATTTGTAATTTGAACTGGTCTTTTGCACAGAGCTCTGGATGCCAGGATAAAATAAAAATAAATAAAACTAGTTACTGTAAATATTCTTTGAACCATTCAATCACTAACTTCTAAGCTGGTTTCCCTGAAGATGACTAACTCATCTGCATCCGCAGGGCAGATTTGCAATTTGAAGTGCAATATATTTGATTTTTTGATTGCCTTTACTCAAGGTCCAGTGCTGTAGCCATCATCATGGTAAAGAGACTGAGTGACACAAGCCCCCAGTTCTACATCTGTGCACTACCTGTTCTAGCAAAGTAGCGCTGTATGTAGCCTCCAGCTTGAAACTGGAGACAGCTGAAACCTAAATATTTTATTAATGCATTAGTATGCAACACAGAACATTGTTAAAAATGTTACTGACTTCAAGTATGCATATGTCAGTAAATAACTCTCTAGTTTGCTGGTACCATTAGACTGAAGTGCCAGTACAGTTGGTAGCCATGTATTTTTGTCTAACCTTAATTTTCAGTTAACGTTCAGTTAAAGGCTTATCCTTTAACTGATTCCCTAGCAGAACAAACCTAGATCCAAAGCTGAAAGTAGTTGAATTCAAACAAACACTACCACCATCTAGATTTTCACTGATTTCCATGTTGTTCTCCTTTTGTCCATTTTTGATCTTAAAGAACAATTACTAGTATATTGAGCTAATAATGACATACAAGTAGATTAGCCTGGCAGATTTTGTCTTCTGAGTGAAGCAGGACTATGGAAAACCATTCAGGAAAGGTGCTTAAGAATTTTCTTCTAGATACTAATCGTATGTAAACATCTCTTTATTTTTTAGTCTGTGATTTCCTTGGGGAAAAGATCGCGTCTGTTCTGGGGATAAGCACACCAAAATACCAGTATGCCATCGATGAGTATTACAGAATGAAGAAAGAGGTACACGTGTGAGATACAGTTCTTGCACTCTTTTTCTCTCAACTTGCCTTCCCTGGTATTTTAAGAAATTAAATTTGTATTCCAGCATTAAAATGAAGTTTTAGAACCTCTTGTTTCAGCTTGCCTTCAGACTTCATTTGATGCATGATTGATGCTTGGTTATCCATCAGCCTTTTCTCACCAGCTCATCAGTCTTAGAACCGGCTGGATCTTGACCGCTGCTCTGTTTGCTTCTCTTGTACAATGCCTTTTCCAGTCAACAGAGTGAGAGAGGTGGATGGAGCAGGTACTGGACACTGTGAAGAGGCAGCTGCTAGGAATACACTTTTCCCACTCTAAATCTTACTCAACAAAGTGTCAATGGTAACTTGAACATGAGGTTACCACACGTTCTTAACCGTAACTGGAAATGACTGATAGGTAGCCAGTGCTTTATGCAAAAATAACCCCAAAACAACCCCTTAGTAACCTTCATTTGGAAGAGATGGGAAACATACTCAAAGCTTTACAACTTATTTTTTATTTTTGATAGCCCTTTATTATAAGAGATGAAAAAGCTTTAGCGAAGGTAGACCTATTGCTGTTGACTAAAAACTTGCTTACCTAGACACAGGAGATTTTTTGTGTGTTTAACACAGTTTAATCCTTCACTTTCAGCAATTCTTTTTTTCCCCCAATAATGGGAATTCCAGAATGGTATGATCAACTAGTCACCATTTTACAGTGGATCAGATGTCCTTGCCTTGTAATAGAAACTGATACTTTCTTATGGAAAGACTTAAAGTGAAATGCAAGTAAGTGGTAAAGAGTAGCTTACAAATCCAGTTATCTATTTGTAGGAGGAGGAGGAGGAACAGGAAAACAAGATGTCAGAAGCAGCACAAAGACAGCATCAGGAACAGCAGAACAAGCCACAAGCTGAAGCTCCTGTCCAGACAGACCAGCCTGAAGCAACAGCATGCACTTCATTTGTGAATGTAAACTTTGAAAATGAGGAAGACTGCCAGTCTGCTGCGGAAAATAAACAAGACGTAGTTCCTGTCCCTCCTTAAGTGTAAAGCGCTGTATAATGTAGGAAATAGGAAGTGTCAGGTGTCACAATCTGGCTATAAGCAGCAGGAAAAATAGGATTATACTTGTTCAGTGAAATACAACTTCTAGCATTCTTATTGATCAGGAGAGAGCTGGGCAATGTCTGTTCAGGCTGTCTGCCTAATAAAGGCTGAGGCATTCTGCCAAATTGGCACTTCAGTTGAAATGAAAATTGCACTACAAACAAATTTTGTCTGAAATTGAATGTGTGAGCTAATTCCTGTGTAAAGCAATTAAAAATGTCTTGTCTTTGAATTGCTGTGTCTCTAACACCTTTGGATTGCAGATGCAGTGCTGTTTCCTACTTCTAAACACCTACTTCTGATTTGCACATTGTTTGCAACTCAGCTCTCTATGAATAGATTAATAGGAATCAATATCCTGTAACTTAAGTCATTGTAATAGCATCTGATTTCCCCTATTTATTGTCACTATTGTATGCATGTATTTTTGTTGTTGTTGTTTAACACAAGAGATAATGCTAATTAGATTTAAGGGTCCACTGACTTTTTTTTTTTTTTTTTAATTAAAAAACCCACCAACTTTGAAGGAGGCTGTAAACACCCTTAAGAACTCACTAACAAGTACCAGCACTCTGGGAGGCTAATAGTGCTTATCTGCTCCATTCAGTGCTGTAACAAAGTACAGAACTAGCATCAGTGTAAAATGTTCTCACTCCAAGTCCAAGAAATAAGATACTCACCTGCTTGAATACGTCTTTACCTGCTCTGAATGGTCACGGGAAGTAAAGTGAAGTCTTGCTAAATTATACTAAATGTACTGGACACTGTGTATGGGACCAATCTAGAACTATGAAAACTTCTCTGGACATCGATTACCTGAGTCAGTGTACTTGATTAATCTAAACAGACTATTTGTTTAATTACCAGTAAGGAATGTGCCATTACAGATGGTTTTCCCCCCCTCTAGCACAGAATACATAAATAACTAGAAATCACAAAACCAAACTTATGACTCTTCCTTTTTCATAAATAAACAAAACACTTTGTTGCACTGCTGCAACAATAGTAATTTTTTATTTTTGTCTAAGTGAAATGGAGGTAGTTCCAGAGCTTTTAAGTAGCCCCAAATACCAGTTAAGGCTCTTTTACTGCAACAACTGTCATTCTACTCATAGTTTGTAAAAGGTGAATGGTTTACTTTGTGACAATCAGCTGTCAGTGCCCCACTCACCTTTTATAGAGAATCATAGACAGAAGAGCAGAAACATTTCTTCTGTCCTCAAGACTTCTAAAAAACATTTTAAAGAATAGTCTTCAGTGAAATTTTGTGTTGGGTGTCATCATACATCCCTGGCCTTGGTCCCACTACCAGCTAAATAAGGAGCCCAACGTAACATCAGAGGCCAGATAATTTAGCGTTTTGTTTCCAGAGTTATTTCAGACAACCCTCTGCCTGAAGTAGTGTCCCATAGAGCACAAATGCCTTCTCCTCTCATCTGCCTTGAGCACTCCAGTGCTACAGAAACTTGTCTGAGGTGAACTGATTCATCAGCTCTATTCCATCTGTTTTGAGGCTCTGTTCTTTGCCTCTCTTTGAATGGTAAGACAGAGGGTGCTGACAGCTGTGTAAAATCAGTCCTGAGCCCTGAACATCTGCCAGGGAGAGCTTGGTTCAACACCTGGGGAATACACAGAAAACAGCTTCTTGGGAGTTTGTATCAAAGATAGAAAGCCTCACATAGCTCAAGAGTAAAACCTTGACAGCCGGAGGATGCTTTGCTTTTCTGCCAAGAAATTGTCAGTTGTGTTGTTTTTTAGGTTTTTTTTTCCCTTGTCTCCTTACTACCTGTTGCATAAGAAATGCTCTCACTGCCTGGGGTTTAAACTTCTTTGTATAAAATACTGTATTACTTACTGTGCCTTAACTGAATCCTTCCTTCAGTTTTTTTGCAAACTGTATGAAAGTTGTTACTTTCATAATGGTTTATTTTTTCTGTAAATGCATTAATTGGTTATTTTATATTTAATATAATTTTTGAACTGGAAGTTGGCTATGGCTTTTCCTTTAACAGGGTGTGGCCTTTGAAACTATGCCTGCACACAAGAGTGCTGTGCCTGTTCCCAGTTTTCTGTTGAGTCACACATCCTGGTGGAATGCTCAAGCACTGAAATTCAAGGTACCATACCATCCCCACTCCTTCCTTACAATCTCATGTAGTACTTGTTAACATACTCCATGCTAACATACTCATCACTACCTCAAGCTAATAAATAGTACAGGATTGCAACCACCTCTAGCCTGGAGCTACTGTAATTTTATCTGGAAGTTAAAACATTTCTACAGCTTTGTTAAGAGTTCTACTGCTTTAAGTACTGCTGTCATACAGCTGTATAATTAAGTTAAATTACATAAAATACTTGCACAGGAGGTAGAGTTGGTGAAAGCCTAGTGTTTGGATTAGTTTTAACTAGACCTACAGCTAGTGCAATTTTATTTCTGTTAATGAACCTCTTAAGAAGTAGGTAACTATTCAGTCAGGTCAATACTTACCCTTTTTCTGTTAGGCACTTACAGCTGGACACATACAGAAGAAAAAGGCCTAAGCTCTTTACCTCTCATAGAAGACTTCTGCCTTTACAAGAAAATGCTTAACAGTGTTATGATTAGAGGAAACCCTATAGAATGCAGTGGGAGGCTTGGGATGGCTGAGTGGACACAGGCCAGTGCTGCAGGCACCAAGAACCACATCCTTACTTTCAGGATAAATTTGCATTCTAGAATAGGGTATTCCAATAAGAATAGGGCTTGGTACACAGGGAAAAAGTCCAAAAATATTTATTTTAAAAAAAAGAATCATTTTTACCTCTTAAACACCACTTGGTTTTGTTTCAGAAATTAGTTCTGCAATTCTTGCATGTACCACATTTTATGTTATATGGGGGGCAGGGGAGGGGAGAGGCATTGATGCAGATAATGTTTCCAGCTTCCAATAGTTCGTGCATCAGATTGAGATATCTCTATGGATACAGCCTGCTCCTGTTCAAAAGTCATGTATCGTCAACATCAGCAGTGTTGTCATTATCACTTGCCACAAGGACCTCTCTGTTCTCGTACGTCCAGAACCCATTCAGGTCAATGAGAATGCTGGTAACAGTGTCCCCTTGACTGCTATTGATTAAGTCTTGAAGGGAGATTTTGTAAGGATCCTTGGGCTTTACCATATCAAAGATTTCATCCTATGAAAGAAAAGTAAAAATTGGGGAAACACCCACACACACACACACATTAATGAGCAGAATAATGGCTACTTTATACCATATACAGAATGATCTCTGGGTAACTAGTACCCATCCACACCACTCTACCAAAAAACCAAACCAAAAAACCAACACCCTGTCAAATCCCAAACCATTTAAGATACAAAGCACAATAATTGGCTACAGATAGGAGCAGTGTGCTCAGCTCCCACTCAAATAAGAATTTGCTTTTCTGGGTAGGCTTTGGCCTCAAAGGGCAACATGAAACTCAGTTTGCTTGTATGAGCTAAGTTTTATAGAAGCTTTTGTACTTTAAGTACTAAAACTGCTAAGTGTAAAGTACGCAGTAATCAAGACAGTTTTATAGACAGGTGTTTTTTAGTTATTCCCCCTCCCCCCCAGGATGATCCTGAATCATAAAATAGACGTACCAATTATCTTCAAGCATAAGGCACAGCAACATGTATTTAATGGGTACTTTGTCTATTAGTAGGGAAACTACTAGAACAGTTGCATACCAGATTTCTTATAGAGCAACTGCTGAATAAAAAGACATTTTAAAAACCTATGAGTAGGATGAGTTAGATCATCTCTACTACTCTGAAAGTAAGTATTCAACAACCTGGAAACTATAAGTAAATTATGAAATGCTTATTCAAATATTTCATGTAGTACTCTGTTCAGTAAAACTAACCTTGACATCCTGAAAAGAAACTGGTTCTTGTCCATGGATTTTCATTTGTTCCTGAATAGCCTGGAAGCAAAAGAAAAGTTAGGAATTAGTGCAGTATTACACTGACACTGTATGAAACTTTTTAATGCTTCTGCATCTTAAGCTGTTTCGCCCTGTGACAAAGCATTCAGGGTACAGCTTGCAAACAACTCTCTTCCACAAGTGAGACAGGAGTGAGTTAAGGCATAATAAATGATACCCATGTCTAGGTTCACAGTTCTTAGCCAATATGATAAGTATCCAAATTTCATGATGATCAGTGTTTGAGCATTCTGCAAGTGGGATATGCAGACACTTGAATGTTAGCTCTCAACACTCCAAGCTTAAGATAGTAATACAGTCGAACCAGAAGGTTCAGTTTTCTGACAAAGTGCAAAATACAGACCACAGAAAGAGAGAAGGAGAAAAGACCAACCAGACAGACAAAGCAGTGTGGCTACTCACACTTTCAATTACTTTGAAAATAAAACCTGTATTCTGGTTGATCCAATAATAATGTGAAGGAGATGATGTATTTGTCTAGTTGAACATTTGTCCATGCACAGATGGGTCCTCCCAGTTCATGCTGTCAGTGGACATTTCTTGTTTTGAGCAAAACAGTACTCCCTACTATTAGTTCTTTCAACATGGTACTATTTAAACAGCTGCATCACCAAACCTCTGCCTGCAAATAACAACTATAAATGAAACTGTTTGTTGCACTAGTACAGCCATCCTGACAAGGCCATGCAGCTTGTGCCAGCAAAGACTCTGTAGGTGCAGACCTACCTACACTCATGCTAGCAGAAAAGCAATTATTCACAGTGTCAAAAGGAACTGTTCTGATTTCAAGGAAAACGTAGAATGTTCCATTTCCAAACGTTTGGAGGAAGGACACATTTTGGAGTATGATCAAGCAACTGCTGTACTCAAGGAATCTTTTCAATAACTAAGCCAGAGTAACTACGTAATGGGAGACACACACAAAAATGACTATGCCACAGTAGTTTATGCAGAATTACCTTGTTAAATTGCTTTCATATTAGAATCAGTTATGTACTATGACAACACTAAAATGAATGTTTTTGTAAAATGTAAGACTAAGTTAACACTCTTCATTAAAATTGGAATCAGAAACTGTTGATATAGCCCCTGGCCTCCCTGAACCCTACTGCCATGCAAAAAGAACTGGAAAAAGTGGTGGGAAAGGTGAGCTGTAAAAGCAGGGAGAGAAGATGAGTCATTGCTTGGTTTCTCTAGGATCCTTAGTATTGCCAAGTCCTGGCCCAACGGTTGTCCATCAAGTGCACAACACAGCTACAACAAAGTTCACAATGAAGTTCAAGAGGCACATGCAAAGCTCCTGCCTGCATCTGCAGCAGAATAACCCCATGCAGGGGCCAGCTGCCTAGAAGCAGCACGGAAGGAAAGGGGCTGGAGGTCTTTGTGCACGAGAAGTTGAAGAAGAACCTGCAGGGCGCCCTTGTAGCGATGAAGGCAGATAAATACTGGCCTGACTTAGTACAAGCATAGCTAGCAGATTTGGGGAGGTGAGTATTCCTCCCGACTGAACATTTGGACACAGTGCTCCAGATGCAGCCTCACAGCTTTGGGCTTCCCTTTATGAGACACTGCCAAACCAGTGGGAACCCACTAAGAGGGCTGTTGGGATGCTGGGGGGCTGAAACACAGCACAGCTGAGAGGAGAGGCTTGAGGAGGGGATTAATTTGCCTGGAGAACAGAAGGCTGGGGTAGTGGGGGAAATCTAATTACTATTTTCAACTACCCAGCAGGTGATTAGAGACAACCCAGCCAGGCTTGTCCTGGAGCCACACAGTGGAAGGACAGGAGGCAGAGGCCACCAACTGCAGCAAGAGGCATTCGAATTTGACAATGATGGGGACAAGGGTGAGGGGAGGAAAAAAAAAACAAAAAACAAACAACTTTTCAGTCAGGGCAGTGAGACACAGGAACACATTGCCCAAAGAGGCCGCAGAGTCTCCCTCCTTGGAGATGCCCAGCGCCTGCCTGGAGAAGGCCCTGAGCAAGCAACTCAACCTAATCATGAAGCTGGCCCTGCTCTGAGGAGATGGTGAGAGCAGGTGACCTCCATTTGTCCATTCCACCCTAAATTATTTGACAGTTCCAAGGCACTAAAAGGGGGGGGGGGGGGAAGGTTGTGGATTTTTTTTTCATTTCTTAAAAAAAATAAAGCCTTTCGTTTTTAGAAAAGGTCTTCCAGATAAGAAGTCTTATTTTTACTAAATTCTATAGTTGTAGTCAATATCAAAATTCATGTTCAACTGGAGACTTATTACAACATAGAAACAATGTTATTTGCCTTGAACAGGCCCAAATGCTTTACTTAACAAGTTGAACAAAGTATGTACCTTGTTCATCATACTTTGAGCATACGGCTAAGTACAATGACATTATTATAACTTTAAAAATAAGCAATGATCCACATATAGAAAATTGAAGTGCTTGTCCCTGTGTCTGAATAGATATCACTGAAAGGATCTTGTACATGAAAAAAGCATCACACTCGTAACTCAGCCTAAACCATCCACAGCAAAAACACTATTTTACTAAATACCTCAGGTATCTACTAAAAACCAAAACAACAAAACATCTGCTGACCCCCCGCAAACCAAAACCACTACAAGCCAGAAGAAAAACAAAAAGCCACTTACAAACCACAATTTTGAGGAAGACTTTACAAACTTTAGGTTAATTTTAACAACAACTAAAAAGAAATTAAGTATATTTTATATGTATTCAGGGAGCAACAGATAGAAATACAAAATACGAAAAAATGCAAGAAGCTTTTTGCCATCAATATATCCCACAGCTGTACATGCCCATCACTGCATTTCATTATTTTCATTTATTCTACTTAATTTCCACTGTAGTCCTAAAATTCAAGCCATGAGCAATAACTAATTAGAACCATCATAAGGTAATCATCAGGCAATTTTAGAACAATTTCAATTAAAAAAAAAGATTTTTCCTAAATGAAATCAAAACAGTTAATTTCAACTGCAAATAAAATGTTGAAAATACCTTTTGAATTCTTTCCAAGTTTTGGAATTTATTTTTTTTTTTTTAATATTTTAAATCTTCTAAGAAGTAGTTACTAGCCTCCCAGTGGGTACTGGTAATTTAAAGTGATTCCCTGCAGATCTGCATGCAGGCTCTAACACTATAAACACAGAAAATGGCCTACCTGTATAAAGAGACTTACCCTAAAGAAATAATTAAGGGAAAAGACATTCAGGTATCCTTTGTTCTCTATATCAAGCAGTTTGAAAATATATTGCAGAGCTGCAGGCTCCTTTCTGTTTTCTAATGCAAGCACAAAGTCCAGGTAGGTTTTATAGTCCTAAAAGTAGATACAATCATGTTTATTACAGTCTTCCTTCTAAATTGATTTTGCAAGCAGGAACTTTATAATTGGCAGCTATTTCATTGTAGGGGATCGGTCTATTTTCTGAAAAAGACAACATGAAACAGAAAATGGCTGCTACCACCAACATGAACAGAAAAGTTAGTTTTTAAGGACTCCTGATGACAGGAAATCCTGCCATTTTGGAGGTAAAACAGGATTCCAAGCCTAAATCCAAATTAAACATGCTATATACACTTTTAAACAATGTTTAATACATCTTTAGACTGCTGAACATACCCAAGTAGGGATGAAAAGCCATATAAAAAGTTTTCATCACCACAAATCAAGTGTCCAGTAGCAGTAAGCCTACCATTATCAGTGAACTATATGGCCAACTCAAGTGTATAATTCTTAAGACCAGAGCAGGCAGTTTGGCAAATCGTGCAGTAGAAGCATTAGCAGCCATCACAAATACGTATCATACTTTTTTCCACTAGTACTGATTCTTGGTTTCCAGATCAAGATACAGTTGTGACAGGGACAGAAATCCATCAGGCCTATGCATATAATAATCCTGTCCACCTTAAACACCAGAGAGTTATGCTACCATTCAGAGGGAGCTTGACAGGCTGGAAAAATGCACTGACATGAGCCTCATCAAGTTCAGAGGGAATGCAAGCTCCTGTATCTGAGGAGGAATAACCCCACGCACCAGCAGATGCTAGGGGCTAACTAGACAGAAAAAAGCTCTGCGCAGACAGACCTGCGAGTCCTGACAGGCAAAGTTGAACAGGCACCAGCAACACACCCTTCCGGCAAAGGCTGCTGACAGCACCCCAAGCTGCGTTAGGAAGAGCTTTGCTGGCAAGCCGAGGAAGGGGATCCTTCTCTACTCAGCACAGGTTGGACCACATCTGAGCACTGGGTCCTGTTCCGGTCTCCCCGATACGAGAGATATGGACCTACTTGGGCAAGTCCACCAAAGGGCACCTAAGAGGATCCCTCCCGACCTCAATGATTCTGTGATTCTAAAAAAACTGTTAAGACGGCAGAAGGACTGTATAGTGAATTTGTAATTTATCACTTTTAGAGTTGAGCTACCTGAAAGCAGACACTAAGAGTAGCGATACATTAAGCAAAGCTTTCAAAATAAATACAGATACAAGTTTTTATTTTAACTCTAATTTAGGTAGACTTCCTATTTTTCACAACTATGGAAAGCCTACAACAAAAAACGCTATTGTCTTCATGAAGAAGTGTACAAGTTAGCTAACTTGCACTAGTCTCAAGCATGTCACTTGTCTTTGGTTCTTTTTAAAGAATTAAATGTAATTAAAAAGCATTTCTACATATATAAATTTTTTCAACATGCACTTCACATTATTGAATCTACAAGAAGCTTTATCCTAGACTGGATTTTATAGCACCTGTGTTTATTAAAACAAGCAACTCGTCTTCAAGTCACTCTGCAATCACCTTGCTGTTCAAAAATTAATTTTCTACTCTGCTCCACTGTCATTTGTGTGCACAATGATAAACAAAAATTCCTTTACCTCAAGCTACTCTATTTTAAAGATACTGATTATGAGACATTTCGTGTATCAATAAGCCAAAGCTTTTATATTGTGAACAGAGTTAAAAGTATAGGATTACCATTTCTCCATCATAAGTTAAGCATTCCTGAAAGACACGATCCAAAAATATGTTGGTCAGAGTCCCTGTTCCATACCGGGACAGTTCTTCTTTGCTGAGCATGCCATTGTGATCTTTATCAAGGTTTAAGTACTGTCCTAGGAAGGAAATATAGAGGGCAAAACATAGTATCTCCATATCAGCAAAGAACTGTTTCAACAGAGAAAGAAAATTTAGCACTTTTTAAACATTTATTTAATTTTTATCAAAGTTAATGCAGTTAAATGGGAATATGCTAGATCTACAATAACAGTCATAGAGCATCATAAATGAGCACAGAACATGGCAGAGAGGGCGGTGATATTCCTAGTAGTTCTACTCTAAGGTAATGCCTCAAAAGAAAAGGATGTGTATAAAAGGAGTATATTACTTTAAATAGATTTGCTGTAAGCATGAAAAAAAAAGCTAAAGATGATGCCAGAGCATGAACAGAACAGTCAAAAGAGAAGGTTACAGAGGAATCTTGTACTTTGTGCAACAAGCACAAGATGACAGGGAATAAAACTGGTAGAGAGCAACAGTGGAGAACCAAAACTGTAAAGAAAGTCAGGAAGATACACCAAAAGGATGGCTACAGGAGTTGAAAAAGACAAGCTATCAGGAGGATTTAAAGGGACAAAAACAGAGGAAAAAAAATAACACTAAGAATGTGACTAAGTCATATAAGGCAGAGAGCAGAGGGGAGAAGGGGGGGGAGGGGGGGAAAGCAAGCGTTCATATATAAAGGAACCTACCATAAACTCTTAATGCAGAAGGAGCAGAAAACCAGTTTGTTTCCTGACTTTCTTTAGAAAGTTCTTCATCCCTTAACTAAGTGAAACAAAGTTAGAATTCAGAAAAAGTATACGCTAAAGAAAATGAGAAAAAAGGATATACTAAGAGATCTTTACCTCCAATAAGTCATCCAGGAAGCTGCAAGCTAAAATATCCTGTATCTTTATCTTCCCTGCAGCAAGAAAAGGAAACACTTTTGACAGTCATCCAGCCAATATATACATTTGATTGTTCTCAATTAGGTGGTTCTACTTTAAAGAGACATATTCTGAGCAGAAAAAAAATACCCTTTTAAAAAACCAAACCCAACTTCTGATGTCAAGGATAAGGCTGTAATTTAAGAGATGAAATAAAAATAGCTTTTAAAACAACTGAACAAAGCTAGCCTGATACTGGCAGAAGAGGAGTTACCTTGAAGCCTTAAAAGCCAGAAAACTAGACAAATAATGTGAGTGTTCAACTCAATGTAAAATAAAAAATGCAAAGAAAGCATGCTTAAAACATTTCTTGGAAGAATAGCCTCTTAAGTGATGTGGTATTTTTGCATTTTCAGAAACAACACACACGACAAAGCTCAGGTGGCAGAACGCACTTCTGGTACAGCTTTGACTGCTGCGCAGATCCTGCACAAACAGCTGTGCAAAATAATGGCATTTTAACTGCACACACACCTTCTCTATGTGTTTGTAGTTACCTCTGCCAGCAGCTACTGCCCACACAACTCTGACATCTTCAAGTGGCACAGCTAGATCTTGAAAACACATGCAGTTTGTGACTTATATCAAAGGCATAGAAAAAAGCAAACCATTTCCGAGGGAGATACATCTGTAATAAGGATTAGCAGCCATAAATGCAAACCTTTTCTAAGGAGTTTCCATGGTGCACACAAATTTAATCACAGGAGAAATACATCACAATAAGCATTCTTGAGCATTTCCACAGCTCTGTGGATGTTCTCCCAAGCAGTTCTGTTGTTAGTTGCTGTGTTTTCTATCCACTCTGAACACTTACAAAGTTAGCTACTGCTAATGATGCATCAGGATGAAACAGTATCATCTCTGTCAACTTGAGAGAGATAACTCTCTAGTACCACAACTGATAGGTATCTCGTTAAAATTCATTAGCTGTGGAAGTAGATTATTAGACCCACGGTCTTCAGTGGAGATTAATCTTCAAATACAAGATTGCTGAATGAAAGGCCACAAAGACAACTACACATTACTGTGAAAACACAAGTATTTTAGGTGGAAACCTTTTTAAAAGTGAAAATACTCCCAAAAATTTAGAAAACGTGGGCTTACCTGTTCTGAGAGGATCCAGAAAGAAGAAGAACTTTCTAACTGCTGTGCAGACATAGAAGGAGTAAAAAGATTTTTCTAAACCATCCAGTTGTGGCAGGGTAGGGATGAGTTCCAAAATATAGTTTTCTAAATCCTGCAAAATTAAGAAAGAAGAGAACACAAGCTTTAAACAGTAGTATTGTTGCATGTTTCCTGTATTCCACCCTGGCTTTCAAGAATACTTTGTTAAAAATACAATCCTGCAACAATGCACGAAAGCAGACAAAAGCTTCTGTCTCTCTGCAAGAAATCATGGAATGGTTTGGGTTGGAAGGGACCTCAAAGATCATCTAGTTCCAAACCCCCTGCCATGGGCAGGGACACCCTCCACCAGACCAGGTTGCCCAAAGCCCCATCCAACCTGGCCTTGAACACTGCCAGGGAGGGGGCATCCACAGCTTCTCTGGGCAACCTGTTCCAGTGCCTCACCACCCTCACAGAGAAGAAAAAAATCCTAGGTCATATACATGCACACATGAAGCCATAACTGAAATGGTTTACAAATAAAGCAGGATGTTAACAAAGTAGATGATATTTCCATAGAAATATAAATGCATTCAACTGTACCTTTTTCAAATACCAATGCATAATTCTTAATTGGATTATCCTATTGCTGAATATTCTTTAAGAGATCTTTTTTTAAGTAGAGCAGTAACTAGAACCTTATTTATAATATTAAGTCCTGTTAGAACAGGAGAATAATTCATTAAGCCCCACTAACCATCCTTTTTTGTGATTTCCACTATATCCTACTAAATCTAGCAAAGTACTAACAACATGAAACTTTGATATCTACAATCTCTTTTTCAGAGAATTGCCCATATGTTAAAAAGACTAGCAGCACTCTCACTACCAAATCTCTAGGATATAGAGATTGCTATTTATCCAAATGCACCTACCCCAAATCTAATTATGATACAAGCTTTTATGATACAAGACTGGAAAAAAAGTGGAGCCTTTCTGATGCTCTGTCATTTGACTAAAGACAGACATTGAATTAATCAAGAATTTACTTACTGATTCTCTGAGGTAGCCCTGTCCTGCCACGTCATATAAACTGAGACCTATTCTTGTCTGATGAAGCCATACTGTAAAACAAGAAACAGAACTGCAGTGCAAGAAACCGGAGGCGGGGGGAGGGGGGGGTTGTTGAGGCCTCATCAAAATTTGCAGTTATTCTAAAGGCAACAAGGCATTGTTGGATGTTAAGTGCCTATCTCTATTTCCCATTTTCTTGAGATTTAAGCTAAGCCATGATGTACACCAGCTCTGCTCAGAAATGCCATTTCAGTCTTGAAGTTGGTCAGAGTCACTGGCAATATACGATATGCTGTGGCCAAAACTGCCTTATAGTAGTAAGATGTGACAAACAGCTGAGCAGACACCACATTTTATCTGGTACATGGAATCATATGGATTTGTTTTTTCACTGACCTAGAGACATGTGTAGCAGCACATTTTCACTGCATTAAAAACAGCTGTACAATGTGGCATACAGATTGCTTGTCAGATTGCTGCAGCCCCTTGTGCAGCATGAGACACTGCAGCTACAGCCAAGGGTCCCGACCTCACTTCTGAGTTACAACAGGAGAGTTAAAATAGCATGGGCACCTATTTTTGCAATGAGGAGGCACATTAATCAGGTAATCTACAGGACAATACGCATGAGGCCACTGTTACAGCACAGTAACAGAGATGGAGTACAGATTAGGCATAAAAACCATTACTTACAAACTCCATGTTAAATTTAACTTCCATTTTATGAAAAAAACCCCAACCAGTTTTAAAGTTCCTCTTATGAAATACGAGCTGTGCTTCATACCAACATTCATCTCTTCAAGGTAAGCGTTTGTCAAGCCGGACTAAGCATCACTCAGAGATGACAGAAGTGGTACAGTGAGGCTATTTGTTGGCTGAAGTTTAAAGGTGTGCATCATACACCCTGAAGCAATTCAAGACATTTTTACTAGGCTTGACTTGTTTGGACAAAGCCAACAGACTTGACTACCTTTCCTCCTGAAGGGGGAGCATTACTGGAGGCAGATGGTGCTTTGGGAAATGCTTCACCATTATTCAGTTATTAACTTCACCACTCTCTCAATCCCTCACAAAATGACTGTTTAGATCATTACAAAAGAGGAAGAAAGGCTGTAATCCATGGGCTGCAGGAAACCCTCCAGCTGGAGGCAGGAAGGAGAAAGACAGAATGTTATGTGTTCAGCACAAGTACGTGAATACATGCAGCTATTCCTAGAATTTTAACAAGCATATAAAAATAAAGACCCAAAAGCTCATTAATGAGTTCAGCTGGTTAGAGAATACCATCACACACCCAAGGCACAGCAGTTTAAGATGTTTTAAGCTCAGGGTGATATGGCCTCTTCCCTGCTGCAGCACCATTCTGGAGGCTGACCACTCCACTGGATGAGTTTCACCAAAACAAGGTGAAAATAAGGACTGCACTGCCCCAACTTGGCTCAGTTCAAGCAGCTCTGAAGTAACTCCCTTCATCTGTTACTTCCCCCCCTTTCAGTGCCACACTGAAGGAGATTTAGCAGTAAATACAAATGGAAATCAGTAATTCCAATCTAAACTATTAACTGAATGTTCCTACAGGAATTTAAGTCTTTTCTTCCTTTGATACCTGGCCTGGTCTTTAGCCCTCACACAGAACACTGTACAACACAAGTGATCTCAGCTACTGCACAGACATGCTACTGGGCTATCTTTACTAGGCAATTCCAATGCTGTAAGCTAGCAAAAGCAAGGACCCTTATTCAACTGACCCAAGAGGGACTTGCAAACAAACACTGCGAAGGGACCTTACGTTGGCCAGAATTTGAAAATGAGATCTAATTGAGATGGGACATGCCAAAAGGCTTCCTGTCTCTAAATTTAGTAGGGTTCTTTGGTTTTGTTTGTTTGTTTAGAAAAAAGGTATCACCATAAATACACAAGACTTTCACTTCTGGGTGAAACAAATGAAATAGAGAGCTCTGAAAGAATTTTTGTTGTGTCTATCTGGGTAGGCATTTTTGAAAGGCATACAGCTTTCACAGACTTCTTCACAAGTCTCCTATCCTGCAGCTTTTGGGTTTGCTGTTTGTTGCAAATGAGCCTATTACTCCTTTCTCGCACACTCTGCACATATACTCACCAGGCTTCCTGCTCAACACATCTCTCATCCCTTGCACAACAAGATATTAAGTTAAACGAGCTGAGCTGCTCAGGCGAAAGGTGCCATTTTCCCCTCCTGAAGGCTCTACCAGACCTAAGAGCACTGTAGTCAGGGGACAAGGCAACCTTCCTTTCTGCTAGCCAGCCTCATCTTTTTTAAATAAGATCTAATACAAATTTTAAAAAAAAAAAGCATGTTTCAGCCCAAGTAGTTATTTATGATCAAAAACAGCTGAAAATACGGTAAGGCTACAGTGACAAGCACAAGAACATACTGACATATTTGACAAGTGCAGTTAGAAAATAGGTAACAGCACTCTGTAGAAGGAAAAACAGCAAAGCTATCTGCCAGTCTGATCACAGTGGTTAGGATCACACTCACCACATAACTTTACTGTTTTGCTCTTCACAGTACTGCCTGAATAAAGGGAATTGGAACAGATCAAGGGTATCTCTGGCTGAGAGCAAAGGTGGATTTCAGAGGTAGGTGAACTCCCACATCCTAGTAACCAGAAGAAAACCCCAAGCCTCCAGGAAAACAACATTAGCAATCAAGGGCTAGATCTCACTACTGTTGAGGAGAACAGCAAGTAATTAATATACCTTAAAATAGCCTTGAAAATAAAACAAATTCTCATTAACACAGGGTAAATATCAACTAACCTTTTCGCATGACATAATTGAAAAACTGCATGATCGATACCCTCCCATAAGGATCATTATGGAGTAATTTAGCAAAGATCTTAGCTGTGAAGAACTGCCTGTAAAACATAAACACAAAGTTACTTCTATGCATCTGATTACATTGCACTGACAGATCCAGTTACAGTATTCGAAACTTACAGACACTTTAAAATACTGTTTTAACAATACAGAATGCGTTCAGTGTATTCGAAGATGTTAATTTGCTACACAACATCCATCAAGTGGGATTCTACCAAGTAACAACAGTAAACTCAATAAAAAGCAGCTGCCTTTACTGCTCATGAGACTCTTCAGTGATGGGGGAGTTTTGAAAGCTTTCATTCAATTTAACTTCTCTTTAGTACAATGTATTTGGTAGCATCCAATTTCCTACAATGATATGTACAGAAAAGAAACTGCCAGCGCTGACAACTAATCTGCTTCTGCCCAAAACTCAATCACAAAGCTACGTGTGCAACAGCAGTCTCCAACAGGAGCATAAAGAATTCAGTGTATGCTGCGTGCAGAATATCTGTTAGGAAATTTTCCATCAGAAGATGTTAGGGAAGGTTGGGCAATATCTCAGGAGTCACAATCTCCTCCTCAAATACAAATGTGCTGTTTATTGGCCACTAAAATCCATAAAAATGCTCGTGCTGATGGGAATTTCTTCTTCAGAAGGATTCAGTACCCCTCTTGCAGGCATCTCTATCAAAAATTTCCTCAGAGACGTAGGGCAATTCACCTTTGCAAGGATGCAAAGCAACTAATTCATCAAGAACTACATGGACACTATTTTATTTCACCATTAAACCATTTCCATCTATTTTAGCAACTGAAAGTTACAGCAACCCTTAGGTTTAGGCAAAGCAAGCATATACAAGAGAAGGTGGCCTTACTTGCATTTAGGTCCAGCTTTTTCACCAACTTTCAAGAAGTTCTCATAGTTGATCATCGCTTCTTCCCCAATCATTGGTGATGTCTGATGTTTGTCCAGTAGAAACCACAGATTCTTAAAAGGCATTTGTATTTGGTTAAGAAGATATCTCTCTAGAGAGATGTCAACATGCTTAAGACAGAGCATCTAAACCTTGCAGCAAAACCACATTTTTTGCTGCATTTCTATCTCAGTTAATCAGTACACACTGTCAGTTCAGCCAGAAAAGCAAGCAAGCGATATTGCCACTGCTCTAAACTGGTGTTAAACACACACGTGTACTCTCTCTCGCTCATTAGGATTTCCAGGGTCACATCCCTTTTGTCTTTGCACTGCAGTAAACGCAACTCAACTCAACTCTTTGGAATCTCTCTCAGTGATACATAAACAGGATTTGTTTCTTTTTCTGGACCCACTAAGGAAAATTGCTGGAATATGCTGGAAAACTAGAAGCCACCAATTTAGTCCTTATATACATCATAACGAGGAAGCTTTACACTGATGTCACCAGCCCAAGACTACACAGAACTTGAGCTAGTACTTCACAACCAGCCAACACGCCCAAATACAAAGCACCTTAACACCAGATTCTGGGGACAGACAGGAAACAACCATGCTCTGCAGAAAGAGGAAGGCTGTCAGAAGCCGTTATGAGACATACAGAAAATATTTTCTTACCTGCAGCTCTTCGTTATCCAACAACTCTCTACTTTTTCGTTGTAGAAAAACTGCTCTAGATTCTTCTCTCAATTTCTGAAGCAAGACTTCATCTTCAGCTGGCAGCTAGAAACATTGTGGCAGTTTAATTTTCTGTACAGTGGTACCATTCAGAAACTACACATCTAGCAAGTACTCTTCGGTAGTTCTGATTCACACACTCTGAAGCTGTTTACTTGACAGAAAATAATGAACTATCTACCAGAATGCTGTATGGTACCTGCTGCTTCTACAGGGATATTACTTGCATACTGTCTCAAACTATTACAACATTGAAATATTTATTTAAAGCAGGACTTCTTTACCATGAGAGGCAGAGACCTACCTCATACCTGATAACCCATCCATTAAGCACTTCCCCACAGTTGCAAGATAGGAGGGCTCACACATAAGAGACATTTACTAGTGTGCTTTTACTCAGGAAAGAGCAGCACTTTCTATTTTGTGGTAGGTCTGACTCAAAAGTGTGACTGTGTGCTAGACTTGTTTTGGCCAACAAAACAGATGGGAGAACGCTTAGTATGAAAGTTCTGCTGATGTCTACATGCAAAACCGTGCAGCACTACCAGAACTTGGATGGTTGCATATGTATTCATCAATTGAAACACAGATACTTGAGAACTGAATTGGCAGAAACTCATGATCCTAAGGAATATAGGACCATGCAAGGTTAGACAACAGCTGAGTAGTCAAGTTGACAAGTGGCAGTATCAAGATGTCACACTTGTGCTCCCACACTACCCCATTCCAGTCTGATTCATCTCACACGTAAGTTGCCAGATGTAAGAATCAAACTCCTCCTAAAGAGTTAATGCCTCGAACCTTGAGTATGTGTACAGCAAAGAGATAACTAAAGCAGGAACTTTGTGGTTGGAACAGCAAGCAAGATGTGCTTGCTAAGGAGGATGTGGAACACACCAAAGGGTGCACGGTCCTGACCCCCTTGTCCAATACCCACGACTGTTCCCAGAGATAAGGACATTAGTGGCGTAGCCTACAAAAGGTCACTCAGCGGTAATAGGATACAGGGTCCCTGCAACCCCCGACTCAACTGGTGGAAAGGGTTAATACTACCCTTCCCTTCCTCACACATGTGCAGATGAGAAAACATCGCCTTTCTTCGCCTCGCGTGTAAACAAGGAAGATGGTCATTCATAGAGGTAGAGTTATGCTTACTACAAGAATATTTATACTGGGCCAGTTGTTACAATAAAGGCATTTGAGTAGACCTTTGGCATAAGTTGCCTTAATTTGACTTGAGCAGATCACAAACCTAAGCCCAACTGGATATTAGGTCCTAACACTGGACCAAGTATTTCTGCTGGGTGATGCAAGCAACAGCCCTATCTTTAGTCTGCAAGACCAGTGATCCACCATTTTCATGGAGCAGCATCCCATCATGTCTGAACAGAAACAGGAAGATATGTAACACCAGTATGTCAAAATTTAGTTAGAACTAGTTAAAACTAGTTTAGTTTCTCTGAAAGAGATTTCCTGTGTTTAGTAAACATCCAAGCCTACTGCCTGAGTAGCAAACTACTTCTGGGCCTCTGATGAGATGTTTAGTAATTATTTGAAACTGGTGAAATTCCCAATTGTACTAAACAAAAAAAATATGCGTCAATCTACGTCATTCGGATTTCAATCTGCTTAACCTTCTGAAGCTGAAGTGTACCTTTCAATGAGCATAACTTTATTTTGTAACACAGAATAGCCTCTTGCTGAAGTTTATCTGGATACTTCACTTACCCTGTAGTAAAATCGTGGTATGTTCGTATATGATGTAGTGTCACTTTTTCCTCCTCCTTTCCATTCCATGTAATATTTTGTGAACAATTCCATTTCTTCATCCTTTAACTCTTGTTCACTCTTTTTGGCTGATTAACACAGAAAACAATTTTTGTGTTATACTCAAAACAGAGATTTAATGTAACAAGGATCTTGAGAAAAAGTACTTAATGCTGATGATTATACAGCTAAGCTGTTTAGTAACACAAATATTAGGTGAAAATGAATGGAGCACAGACCTATAATGTGATTATATAAGATACATCGATGTCACATAGGTATTCTATTTGAGTATCTACAAAGCACCTCTTTCAGTAACTGCACACACCTGATTCTCTGTAGGGCGATTGTAACGGACACATGGTTATGACTGACAAAGCAGCAGCATTCTTGTTTTACAGTGGTAGCATTTTTTTAAGATACTGCTTACTGCAAGCAGCAGCATAAAGTCACCTTTCACTCTGCAACGTTAGGGCCATCGTTACACACCTGTACGAGCCCTCTGCGGGCTCGGTTCGGAGCAGTTACCGGCCGAAGCTGCCTCAGGGGTACGTACTACAGACAAACCCGCCTTTACAGCACCAGGGTCCACACGGCTCCTCAGCGTCCCTCCGCCCCGCCCTGCTGTCACTCGCCCCCAAAACAAGGGTGCTTGTTTCTCCACAGAACGAGTCCGAAACCTGCCTGGCCCCCACGGCCACCCGCACACGGGGAACTAAAGCGACACCGGACACGCCGACGCTCGCCCCGCCAGGCCTGACCCCCCCCACTCCCTTGTCCCCACAGGGGACACCTTCCCTGCCCGGCCCG